GAGCCCCCCTGCCAACCTTAGCTTAGCCTTGGGGCTGCTGAAATCCCAACCTGGATAATTTTGTCTTTATCTTCTCTATCTCAAGAAGCTTTGCTTTTTACGTTTCTCCTGCCAGCGTCATGCTTAAATGAGGCTTCAACGAAGACCGAGTCGCCAGCAGCTACCCACACATCTGGGGCAAGGCAGGTCACCTCGTAGGCTGCCGGCTCACCCAGGCCGCACTTGCTCCCCACACCGAGTCAGAGTCATGGTTCTGAGTTCGCACGAAGGGAGTCGCCTGGGGTCTTCTGAGAAATCACTTCCCGCTGCCCATTCCCATCACAGCACTGAGTCTCCTGGGCTTTTCACCAGGTCAGGGAGGGAAACACAGGTCTTGTGCTGAGGTTCCCTGCGTGAACATTTACACCCTTACCCTGTCCAGAATTCCTTCCCAGGTGGGGGAGCTCATGTCTGCTTGGCCTCTGGTAACAAAGCCACCAGCAGGTGACCTCAAACAGCAGAGAATTGTTCTCTCACAAGTCCTGGAGGCTAGAAGCCTCAAGAACAAAGGCTGGTTCCCAAGACAGTGTCTTCACATGGCCTCCCTCTGTATAAGTCTGTGTTCTAACTCTTCTTACACAGGGCACCCCATGACACACATTTTACCTTAGGCTTCTAAAAAGGCCCTGTTCCAAGGACAGTCACACTGGGGTCAGGACTCCAACATGCACATGTGGGGACACAATTCACCCCATAAGAGGGCAAACTGGGCACTCACAGGTACTTCCTCAAGAAGTGATTGGAGGCCCAAACTGGTGCTGTGTGGAAGGGTAGTCTGCTCCACGAGGACTAGTTGACACCTGTCCTCTCTGGCTACTATGTGACACTGTGTGCACTTTGCATGGAGAAAACTCGCTAGCACCCAGGCTGTGTCTTGTCACTTCTGTTTACATGTGGCCACCCATTCTTACCTGCTTTTTAACTTTTTCTATCTATAAAGGCAATTTATACACTAGTAGAATATTTTGAAAAATAAATTTGCAGATTCTGAAAATTAATGCAAAAGAAAATCTAAGAGCCACAGTCTGGTCAGGCCTGAATAGTTTGTGAGACACTCTCTCCAAAATAACTACAATGAACGCCACTGAGAGGTATGGCTTCAAGTGGTAGGCTTTGCTTTGCAAGTGTTGAACCCTGAGTTCAAACTCCAGTCCCACCAAACAACAACAAAAAAGAGCCACAGTTCCCTCATGCCCACCCCATTTACTTATTTAATTTTTCCAGTGCTGAGGCCCGGGGGGCGCTCAGCATCCATGGGCTCTACCCAGGGCCAGGAGCAGGGGCAAAACCCCAGTCCCACTGCTCTATACCAACAGTAGTCTGGGAAGCCCTAGACTCATCTTCCTAGGACCTTGGCTCCAATGAGGATGGTCAGGTCTTGGATTCAAATCCAACCCCTTCTTCACCAGGGCTGTAGCCAGGGCCTCCAAAACTGGGCATTGAACTTGCTCAGCAAGCTGTCCAGGGCCTCTGAGGACCCACAGTGCTACTGGACAGAGCTGAGGGGCCCTGGCTGTCCCCCAGCATTGTGGTTTTACAGGCTTCTGACAATAAACTGTTATGCCTTGTGATTCAAGAAATGGAAGGATTCTTGGCAGAACAAGATTGCTTTAGGCAAAGCTCCCATTTTTTAAAGTAGCAATACTCATAATTTCTCTTTATTGTTGGCCTTCCCTAGATCTCTCCCTGAGACACAGTTTTCCTTACATCATGTTGCAGCAGCTTGAGTTCCTGGCAAACGTTAAGGTCAGCTGACAGCTGAGCAGAACCAGGCTTCTCCCACTATCCAGTAGGGTGGGTATCCAGGGCATGTAGTCTGCCCCCAGCCCATCGCCTACCCATTGGAGCCCTGACCCCTCTTGGGACCTGATGCTCAGACAATCCTCCCTGCCTGCATCTGGACACCAGGCAGAAGGTCCCTGTGTTCTTAAGAATAAATAAAGCCAGACATGATGGTACACACCTGTCTCCCAGCACTTGGGAGGCTGACACAGACTTGGGAGACTGACACAGAAGGATCACTTGACCCTATTTAAAAAAAACAAAACAAAACACCAAACTGTGACAAGAATAGAAAATGAAGCCCCCAAATGGAACCAGGTGCCTGGAACTGAGTTATCTGGGCAAAGCAGGTAACACTCCTGCCAAAGGTGTTTGATGAACAAATGAATCCCACTTCTAAAGGCACTACCTTCTGCTTCCAGAAACTATCCTGGAGCTCCTATCCCATACCTCCTGACTGAAGACTCTCACACAAACAGACCCTCCTCACTGGTGGTGTGGGTCTAAGAACCTGTCCAAGTGAGCTCAGCTTTCCGGAAGGTCCAGAGCCAAGGTCACCCTCCTGGCCTCCTCTCTGGGTCCCACAGCCTGAGGGTCTGCACATGCAGACCAGTACACTGGGCAGAAAATAGGACAGACACCCCCACTCCACACACACGCACACACTGTGTGCTAGAGGACATGGGAGACACCCAACAAATCTACAATTCACAGCCTCGTACCACCCACCCCAGCCCCATGAGAGCCATAGGGCACCAAGGAGCTGGTTGGTCTCTGGGCCCCTCTGCTGGCTGAATCTGGTGGTACCTCCTCCCACTGGTTGAGCATCAGGCAGGACAGTGCTGCTCCTAGGGCCACGCTGAACGCTGGCCCCTCACAGACATGTCACCACGGAGCCTTCCTGTCTGCATACCCAGGTTGGTCCATCCACACCAAGACCAGAGCACCTGGCATGCCATGATAACAGTCGCACACAGCAAGGGCATGAGGGCTATGATCCAAGGCCCACCAGCTCTCTGTCCTGAACACAGCAGAATTGCTGGCTCTTCGGGTTGCTCTCCCAGTAAGCCCATCAGCCCAGGCACAGTCCCTGAGGACCCACCTGTTTGTTCTGTCCATTTACCAAAGGCTCTTTCCTGAGGAATCCTGTGGACCGAGTCTGACCCCATAGGATTCAGTCACGGTGGTGTCCCCTTCAGCATCCCTACCTGTTCTCTAGGGTCCCTCTGGCTTTGAGAGGGAGGATGAGGGTGTCTCCTGGGCCCTGTATGGAAAGTCCAGAGCTGCTCTAGGCCCAGAATCCAAGAGTCCTAAGTGCTTCCACACTCAGGGACCACATCCCACTTGGAGTACCCAGCCCCTCCTTTAGAAGGGACGAGACACATGGAAACCCCACTCAGCTCTCTTGAGGACCCTTGCTTGGCTCCTGTGGCAACCCTGGGGTGTGGGAAGTATCTGCAGAGCCAGGTGAAGTCACTGAGGCTACTGTGCCTCAGGATGGAGACAGTGAGAAGACGCTTAGTCACCCCACCACAGACTTTCTAAACTGAACTGTATCTGCCTGAGGTCCAAATCACCCTGGGCTGAAAGCATGGTACCGGGTGTGAAGCCTATGTGACCCTCTGGCCTGCTGGCTGGTGCCATGCCAATTAAAGCTTCCACTGAACATGAACAGCAGACATGTGCAGTGCACTTAGTGTGCACACGTAGGCACCTTAGTGTTTCTTAGAGGAGCCTGAGAGGCTGAGCTCTGACTGTGAGACCTGGTGCCACAATGTGGCTTCTGGCTGAGTATCCTGGCTCTCCAAGGCTCTGGCCCTGTCCAAGCACCATACCTGGGGAGCACCTGGCCCCATATCAGACTCACCTGAGGACATACAGCATTAGCCCCCATGTGAGTGCAAGTAGAACAGGACTGCACAGTGGGACCCACCTGGAAGAGGCAATGGGTCAGTTCCTGACCTGTCACAGGTTGCAGCAGGTGCAGGCTGTGGCCTGTCTGATTACAGGTAGGCTCTGAGAAGGGTTCCAGGTGCTTCAGCTAATGGCCTTGGTGTCACACACTCTGGGAACCAGAGGAGTGGTGGGCAGCACAGAGGGAAGTTCTCTAGCCCCACCTGTGACCCGGACTCTCCCCTTTCCCAAAGGAGGGAAAGGCAGAAAGGCACCACTCCGTCACTCCCAGTCAAGCCTTGCTTACAGGGGCAGGGGTACAGTACCCAGACAGTGCCTCTCAGAAACCCAGCCCCAAACCCAGAAGATTCCACTCCTGGTCTGAGCAAAGCTTTCCCAGCCACTGAGTGGTGTGGGAGACTCCTTGGAGCTTCTTCCTCAAGGTGGGAGGATGCTGGGGAACTTAAGACATTTCTGAAACCCCAGTTGCAGGCAGCACTCACAGGAGCTGTAATAAGTCACACTGCAGTCCCCAGGCTGCAGGTTGAGGACAAAGCTGGGCACCCTGGGCCTCAGGACACAATGACCTTTCTCTACCCTGTGGTGAGTACTTGAAAGTAAACCCTAAACCTAAGACAGGTCACTCAGCAACCCTGCTGGTGGCACAGGGCACCCTGAAGACTGGTAGGAAGCCAAGCTCTACCTCGCTGATCCACAGACACCGTCTCAAGGACACTGAATACCGAGAGGCCGGCCTGGAGTATAGGTAGGTGGGTTAGCAACACTGGCCTCAGAAGCCCAGAAGGCCCTGACCTCACAGAGGAGGCTCAGAGTTTCCAACCCCTTCCCGCCCTCCACTCCCCAGCCCTTACCCCTTCTCTGCATGGGACAAAGGATCAAATAGCTCAGATTGACTTTTTACATCACTACATATGGGAATGTCATTTTGGGTATACTGGGATTAAAAAATACATTAATTTCACTTGCTTCTCTTTTTTAAAATATGCTACTAGGAAGCTGGGTTTTGGTGGGTCACACCTGTAATCCTAGCTACTCAGGAGGCAGAGATTAGGAGGATTGCAGTTTGAAGCCAGCCTGGGCAAACAGTTCAAAAGACCTTATCTCAAAAAAAACCCTTCACAAGGACCTAAAAGCATATATTAACTCCAACATAGTGGTCGTGGGAGACTTTAACACCCCATTATCATCAATAGATAGGTCATCCAAACAAAAAATCAATAAACAAATCCTAGATCTAAAATATACAATAGATCAAATGGACCTACTTGATGTCTACAGAACATTTCATCCAACTTCTACACAATACACGTTCTTCTCAGCAGCCCACGGAACCTTCTCCAAAATAGATCATATCCTAGGGCACAAAACAAGCCTCAGCAAATATAAGAAAATAGAAATTATACCGTGCATACTATCTGATCACAATGCAGTAAAACAAAAATAAAAACAAAAAACATGCAAAACAGCTGGAAACTGAATAACTCATTGCTTAATGAACAATGGATCACTGATGAAATAAAAGAGGAAATTAAAAAGTTCCTGAAAGTCAATGAAAATGAAAACACAACCTACCGGAACCTATGGGACACAGCAAAGGCAGTCCTGAGAGGAAAGTTTATAGCCATGAGTGCATATATTAAAAAGACTGAAAGATCCCAAATCAATGACCTAATGATACATCTCAAACTCCTAGAAAAACAAGAACAAGCAAATCCCAAAACAAAGAGGAGAGAAATAATAAAAATAAGAGCTGAAGTCAATAAAATAGAAACAAACAAACAAACAAAAACATACAAAGAATTAATGAAACAAAAAGTTGGTTCTTTGAAAAAATAAACAAGATCGACAGACCCCTTGCAAACCTGACTAAAATAAGGAGAGAAAAACCCCAAATTAGTAGAATCAGGAATGCAAAAGGGGAGATAACAACAAACACCATGGAAGTCCAGGAAATCATCAGAGACTACTTCAAGAACCTATATTCAAATAAATTAGAAAATCTTAAAGAAATGGACAGATTTCTAGATACATATGATCATCAAAAACTGAACCAAGAGGGTATTAATCGCCTGAGTAGATCTAGAACACAAAATGAAATTGAAGCAGCAATCAAGAGTCTCCCCAAAAAGAAAAGTCCAGGACCCGATGGATTCTCTGCTGAATTCTATCAGACCTTTAAAGAAGAACTGACACCAACCCTCCTTAAACTGTTCCATGAAATAGAAAGGGAAGGAAAACTGCCAAACACATTTTATGAAGCCAGTATTACACTTATCCCAAAACCAGGCAAAGACACCTCCAAAAAGGAGAACTATAGGCCAATCTCCTTAATGAACACTGATGCAAAAATCCTCAATAAAATAATGGCAAACTGAATTCAACAACACATCAAAAAGATCATTCACCATGACCAAGTAGCTTCATCCCAGGAATGCAGGGGTGGTTCAACATACGAAAATCAATAAATGTAATAAACCACATTAACAGAAGCAAAGACAAAAACCACTTGACCATCTCAATAGATGCAGAAAAAGCCTTTGATAAGACCCAACACCATTTCAAGATAAAAGCTCGAAGAAAACTAGGAATAGAAGGAAAGTACCTTAACATTATAAAAGCTATATATGACAAACCTACAGCCGGCATTATACTTAACGGAGAAAAACTGAAACCATTCCCTCTAAAATCCGGAACCAGACAAGGATGCCCACTATCTCCACTCCTATTCAACATAGTACTGGAATTCCTAGCCAGAGCAATTAGGCAAGAAGAAGGAATAAAAGGAATACAAATAGGTAAAGAAACTGCCAAAATATCCCTTTGCAGATGATATGACCCTATATCTTAAAGACCCAAAAAACTTTACTCAGAAGCTTCTAGACATTATCAATAGCTACAGCAAGGTAGCAGGATATAAAATCAACATAGAAAAATCATTAGCATTTCTATACACTAATAATGAACAAACTGAAAAAAGAATGTATGAAAACAATTCCATTTACAATAGCCTCAAAAAAAAATCAAATACCTAGGTGTAAACCTAACAAAAGATGTGAACGACCGCTACAAGGAAAACTATACACTTCTGAAGAAAGAGATTGAGGAAGACTATAGAAAGTGGAGAGATCTCCCATGCTCATGGATTGGTAGAATCAACATAGTAAAAATGTCCATACTCCCAAAAGTAATCTACATGTTTAATGCAATTCCCATCAAAATTCCAATGACATTCATTAAAGAGATTGAAAACTCTACCATTAAATTTATATGGAAACACAAGAGGCCATGAATAGCCAAGGCGATACTCAGTCAAAAGAACAACGCTGGAGGTATCACAATACCTGACTTCAAACTATATTACAAAGCAATAACAATAAAAACAGCATGGTACTGGCACAAAAACAGACACGAAGACCAGTGGAACAGAATAGAGGACCCAGATATGAAGCCACACAACTATAACCAACTTGTCTTTGCAAAGGAGCTAAAAATATACGATGGAGAAAAGACAGCCTCTTCAACAAAAACTGCTGGGAAAACTGGTTAGCAGTCGCACAAAACTGAAACTAGATCCATGTATATCACCCTATACCAATATTAACTCAAAATGGATCAAGGATCTTAATATCAGACCACAAACTCTAAAGTTGGTACAGGAAAGAGTAGGAAATACTCTGGAGTTAGTAGGTATAGGTAAGAACTTTCTCAATGGAACCCTAGCAGCACAGCAACTAAGAGATAGCATAGATAAATGGGACTTCATAAAACTAAAAAGCTTCTGTTCATCGAAAGAAATGGTCTCTAAACTGAAGAGAACACCCATAGGGTGGGAGAAAATATTTGCCAGCTACACACCAGACAAAGGACTGATAACCAGAACATATAGGGAACTTAAAAAACTAAATTCTCCCAAAATTAATGAACCAATAAAGAAATGGGCAAGTGAACTAAACAGAACTTTCTCAAAAGAAGAAATTCAAATGGCCAAAAAACACATGAAAAAATGCTCACCATCTCTAGCAATAAAGGAAATGCAAATTAAAACCACACTAAGATTCCACCTCACCCCTGTTAGAATAGCCATCATCAGCAACACCACCACCAACAGGTGTTGGCGAGGATGCGGGGGAAAAAGGAACTCTCTTACACTGCTGGTGGGAATGTAAACTAGTACAACCACTCTGGAAAAAAATTTGGAGGCTACTTAAAAACCTAAACATTGATCTACCATTTGATCCAGCAATACCACTCTTGGGGATATACCCAAAAGAATGTGACACAGGTGACTCCAGAGGCACCTGCACACCCATGTTTATTGCGGCACTATTCACAATAGCCAAGTTATGGAAACAGCCAAGATGACCCACCACTGACGAATGGATTAAGAAAATGTGGTATCTATACACAATGGAATTTTATGCAGCCATGAAAAAGAATGAAATATTATCATTCGCAGGTAAATGGATGGAACTGGAGAACATCATTCTTAGTGAGGTTGGCCTGGCCCAAAAGACCAAAAATCGTATGTCCTCCCTCATATGCGGACATTAGATCAAGGGCAAACACAACAAGGGGATTGGACTTTGATCACATGATAAAGCGAGAGCACACAAGGGAGATGTGAGGATAGGTAAGACACCTAAAAAATTAGCTAGCATTTGTTGCCCTCAACACAGAGAAACTAAAGCAGATACTTTAAAGCTACCGAGGCCAATGGGAGAAGGGGACCAGGAACTAGAGAAAAGGTTAGTTCGAGAAGAATTAACCTAGAAGGTAACACCCACGCACAGGAAATCAATGTGATTCAACTCCCTGTATAGCTATCCTTATCTCAACCAGCAAAAACCCTTGCTCCTTCCTGTTATTGCTTATACTCTCTCTTCAACAAAATTAGAGATAAGGGCAAAATAGTTTCTGCTGGGTAGCGAGGGGGAAGGGGGAGAGAGGGAGGTGGGGGGAGGGATAAGGGAGGGAGCAGGGGGAAGGGGGGAGAAATGACCCAAACATTGTATGCACATATGAATAAAATAAAAATTAAAAAAAAAAACAAAACTTCACAAAAAAGGGCTGGTGGAGTGGCTCAAGGTGTAGGCTCTGAGTTCAAACCCCAGTACTGAAAAAAAAAAAGGTGCCACTAGGAAATTTGAACTCATGTATGTGGTTCAAGTATTTCTGCTGGACATGCTGGACTCGAGGCAGCCAGCTGCCAAGGCCAATGGTTCCACACTGAAGTACCCAAAACCTCTTCCTCATAACAAAGTTGTGTGGTCACGCTTCTTACAACAGTGGCAGGGAAAACAGCAAGCTCACCTTGTTATCTCCAAATTCCGACAGGGCCTGGCCAATAGCACCTCCTCAGAACAGTCCACACCAGTCCTCCAACCCCAGGATGCGCCAGGAGCAGCCAGAATGAGGTGGGGGGGTGACACAGCTGAACTCCTGCAGCCAGCTGATCAGGCCTCATCCATGAATGGCAGCACTAACTTATAAACCATCCAACACCTCAGCTACCATGAAACCCTCTGAAAGTGCACAGTTACTACCCAGCATGTTCACAGATACATGCAGCTACCACGTAATGGCGGACTTTGTCATCCAAGAGACCAGCCCACATTCATTGGCAGTTGTGGCCCATGTCTCCTCCCTGTGGTCACTGTTACCTTCAGTCTCTATGAATTTGCCTATGCTGGACATTTCCTATAAGGAGCTGTCTGAAAGTGGCTTCTTTCCCTGAGTCTCAAGGCCCGCCCATGTTGCAGCACTTCAGAACTTCATTCCTTTTTATAGTTGAGTATCAAATGTGTGGATGGGCTACACGTTTATCATTCATCAGTTGATGGTCACTGGGTTATTTCTTTTGTTTTTGGCTGTTATGAATAATGCTGCTGGGAACACTTGTGTACGAGTGTTTTTATTCTGAGACAGAGTCTGGCTTTGTGCCCAGACTGGTGTGTAACACCATCCTCCTGCCTCAGCCTCCCAGTGCTGGGATTAAGCTTTGAGCCACCACACCTGGCCTATGTACCAGTTTTGTGTATGTGCGGACACACTTCCATTTACTTGAGAAATCAGCAGACTGTTTTCCACAGTGGTGGATACACTGTGTCAGACTCATCTGCAGCACACAGGGCCCACATCCCCACAGCCTCAACCCCATGTGTTAGTGTTATCTTTCCACTTCATCCATCCTGGTAGGATGCCTGGGCCCCAGGACCCAAGGTCCCCTTTCAATGGGGGAGTCTGCTCTTCCTGGCCATTCCAGGGCCACACAAAGCTGTGCCCTCAGGGGGTCTCAGGAGCTTCAAGGGGCAGGTGGCAGAAGGGTATAATGTCGCTGCCACCAGGAGCAGAGTTCTTGCCTCTTATATCCATAGAGGCCCCAGAGGTGCCCTTTGCTCAAGTCCATGCCTGTAGGGACCATAGACCATCAGAAGACCTATCCACGGCACTGCTCACACCCACCTGCCTTCGGCCCTGTAAGGTCAGGGTTAGGGGGAGGCTGGTCGGACCCATCCCAGAAAAGCAGATGAGCCCCATGTCCTGCCCACACTGCCCAGCCCATCAGGACAACAAGGCCCTACTGCCAAACTGCCTGAAGCATATTCAAAATTGTCCTTCCTCAGCAAACATGGGAGGCCCAGCCAGCTCCCTAAGCACCCCAAGCTGTAACTTCCAGCAGCCCCATCACCTGCATCCCCCATCCCAAGGTCCCCAACCCCAGGGTCTCTGGCATAGGGAGTTGCTCCATGCATAGGATGGACTGGCAGGTGCTGCACTGATACAACCAGCAGAAAGAGGAACACCTCACGGGACTGATAGATTACTTCCCTCAGAAATAGAAGGCTAAATTGATCCCCAGCCCCACTGAGGCTCACGCCTTGAGGCCCTGGGTTCTCCAAACTGGTGAAGACACTGCCCCTCTTGCACAAGCCGCATGGCAGGAAGGTGCAGTGTGGAGTACAAGCCAGCTGCCCAATCTAGTATGTACCACCAGGTAGCCTGCCCTCAGAAGGGGGGGACAGGGACACAGCCAGTCCACACCAAAGTGCCACTGGGTGATTTGACAGGAGGGCCTACCCTAGGCCTGGCCCTTGGGGCCCATTGTCCAACTGCAGTGTCCTATACAAGGGCCAACACCTGGGGGTGATTGCCTGTGCTAACTAGCCTGGGTCAGCCTCATGCCCACAGGGACACTCAGGGCTGCTCAGCACCAAGAACTCAAATCTGGACACTTTCCTGTTTACTGAAGGATGTTCCAGGACACACCAACTCTGACAGATGCTTACAACCACGAGAGCTGACATCCTCCTTCTCCTCACCTGCCCCACCTGCAGCTCTCGCTTTGTTTGGCTTTCAGCAACTCTGGTTTCTTCACCTCCCTGGCAGAGTTTCCAGGGGCTCTTCTGCCCCCGATATCCTCTCTGCAACCCATGATGCATGGAGTATGGCACAAAGGGCACAGGACGCTGGTGACTGGGGGGATGCTGCTGAGGTTGGTGCTGAATGCAGCTGCCTCCCAGTGGGGGCTTGGCCCAGGGCCCTGCAAGTCACAGCCATTGAATTGTCCCATCCTGTGTATACAGGTAAAGGAAAAGCCCTTTCCTTTAGGGGGGACTGTTGGAGATGACCAAGGCAATAAATAACAGACACACTTGCCCAGCTTTTCACAGGTAGTGCTAGAGATGACCCACACAGAGCCTCTCGACCCGACCTGCTCACTTAGGACCTTGGCTTACTAACCTCACACTCTTCTCACCTATTCTAGCCACCTGTCCTGAAAAGAAAACTGAGGTTTGGCTTCAGATCTGGGCTGGACTTTTGGACCTGATGTGGCAGTTCCCTTGGGCTTTCTGGTCAGTGTGGGGACAGGGTCCCATGTCCCACCCTACCTCTGAGAGTTACAAGCAGAAATGAAATGTCCCCTGAGGACACCTTGCCATCCAGGTGACAGTCACATGAGGGTGATGGAACCATGAGGAGCCAGAAGCCATGAGCCTGTCCTGCTGGAGCACCTATGGGTGGGACACTGTGCCAGAAGCTGCTCCACAGGGCTGCTGCCCACCCAGACACAAGCCATCTGGGTGACACCGTGACCCCTGCAAACTGAGGGCAGACCACTCCACACATGCTCAGGGAGCACCCACTGCATGTCAGGCACTGTCCTGGCACTTAGGGTTCATCAGGGAATGAGTAGGAATACCTTTGAACTTGGAGACAATCATTATGAAAATGAGTAAGGGGTTGTGTGGCATGCTGGGAGCAGACATAGCCTGTGTAAAAGAAAAAGAGCAGGTGGGGGCCAGGAGGGCAGGAATGGGGACCAGACTGGCCTCATGGGGAGGGACACTGAGCAACAAGGGGAAGGAGCTGCCATTCAGACTTTGGAGCAGAGCTCACCAGCCAGAAAGCCCAACTTACACAGAGGCCCTGGCAGAAGGAAGTCTGATTATTCGAAGGGTGGAGTGGCCAGAGCAGAATGGGAGGAGCACCCACTGCGCTCCAAGCAGCAATCTGGGGTAGTGCAGCCCTGCAGGTGAAGCTTCAGGGACACAGGGCCCTGGAGAATCCAGGCTTACAAGCCTTTCTGAGCACCCACAGTTGGCTGGTGCCTTCCACATGTGAGGACGAAGGCTCAGAAACGTTAAGTAGCTGCCCTAGGGTAGATCATAGAAGGAGAAGAATCAGCCACAACTCTGAGCAGAGGGGCCCCAATGGCCCAGTCCCAACAGGGAAGGAGGACCCTGCAGGGAAGATGAATGGTGTCACAAACAGAGCCAGGCTGCTTGGAGTGAGCACTGTGGTGGTTAATCTCATGTGTCAAAGTGGCCAGTGGTCACAGGTGCCCACACATTTGGTCAGTCACATGTCAGGGCGAAGGTGTTTTTAAGGTGAGATTAAGTTTGAATCTGCAGATTTGGAGTAAAGCAGACGACCCTCCACACCGTGGATGGGCCTCGTCTAGTTAGTTGAGGTCTTCTAGAGGAGGACAGAACCCTGCCTCCAGGGCTTGCTGCCCAGGTCTGCTGCCTCATAGAGTCCAGGACCGCCCGCGCCCCTTATGCTCCAAGGACCCGCCTCTCTGAAAGCGGACCGGTTGTTCTCTGGATAACCTTGGCCAGACAGGGCCCCCAGCAGGTGGCTGACCCAGCGAGGCGGAGGAGGAAGGAGGCAGCTCAAGGTCCCCTGGGCGCGGCCGCACGTCCCGTCCCGCCCCGCTCAGCGTGTCCCTCCCCGAACGGCCCGTCCCCGCCCCGCCACCTCTCAGTGGCCCTTCCCAGAGGACTAGCCGACCATCGTCACCCTGGGACAGGAACTGGGCGAGGTCGGAGGCTGGGCCTGGCCAGTCCTCAGGCGGGCTCTGTTCAGTCACCCAGGCTGCCCACCAGGCCTGGGATCGCTCACTGCGCCGGCAGACCCGCCGCGCACCTTCCACGCTGGCCCGGAACCTTAGCGAGACAGCTGCAGTGCGCCCGGACGGCTTTCTCCGGGGCACTGAGGTTGAAGTGGACCCGGAAGCCTCTTCTTAAAGAGCTCCACCGCGGAAGCTCCGCGGGCGGGGCCGAACGGCGATGGGCGTGGCCTGACTGGCAGAAGGGGCGTGGGGGGCCCCCGGCGGAGAAGGGGCGTGGCCAGGCGTAGATGAGCTTGGTGGTGGTCGCGGGGAGGAAAAAGGGGGCGTGGCCGAATCGGAAAACCGGGGGACGGGGCGTGGTCTGTGGGGGAGGGCGTGGTTATGTGGGGCCGGACCGCGGACAGGTATGCGCTGGGCAGCGGCGGGGCTCACCAATCGGACACTGCATCCCGCATCAGCCGCCCGTGCTTTTACTCTTCGCCTCTCAGGAGCCCCGCTGCCCCACGCTGCTGTCCGGGCCGCGAAGCCCTGCGCCAGGTCTGCGGTCCCCCAAGTCACTGTGGGACCCTTTCCTGCCGCGGCACCTCGCTCCCCTAGCCCCGACCCTAGGCGCCGACTTCCATCGCGGTCGGGCATCCTCGCCTCCATGCGCTCGGTCGGGGACCAGGTGCGCGACTGGCACCAAGGCGTACAGGCCGTGGCGCGCGGGGACTGGGACGGTGCGCTGTGCCTCTTCTCTGGCGTCCTAGAGCCGCCCGCAAGGATGTGCTTCAACGTGGGCTGCGTGCACCTGCTGGCCGGTGACCCCGAGGCCGCGCTGCGGGTGAGCACCCCGGGACTGACCGCAGAGACTCCATCCCTGGGGGAGGTCAATGGGGAGGGGTGCGTGAATCCCTTCCTCCCAATGGGCACCTTCAACCCATGGTCACCTGGGGGGGAGGTGTTCTCTGCCCTTCCCCCAACACTTGCCTGAGGATTGCTCCTTCCAGTGTTCCTCCCCAGGGAACTCCTAAGGCAGATAGAAGCTGCCTGGCTGGGAGACCCCTCTCTGAGCTGAGGCCAGACTGGGGACACAGTGCTCCCTGAGGACCTCAACAGCCAACGGAGCCAGACGCAGCAGTCACTGGGACAGGACAGGGCCAGCACTAGGTCAGATGCTCAGACAGGACAGGGCCAGCACTAGGTCAGAATGTGAGACAGGACAGGGCCAGCACTGGCTTCAGATGCTCAAATTGAGGGTGGAATGTATCTGAAACATGCTGGAGGCTGGATCAGAATGGGGGTCTGCCTGCCTCCCCAGATAAAAGTATGGGGGTAGGGGGTTTCAATGTGGTGGGGGTGAAACAGGGCTTATCTTCTCACTTCTGAGTGCTCATGTGTTTCCCCATCTGCTTCCCACAACAGGGTGGAGAGCTCAGGGGTGCACACATGTCTAGACATAACTGCCACTATAGGGGAGGAGGCCAGGGTATCCTTTGCTTTTCTAAGTGCTTCACATTCATCAAAGCGCTGCCTGGCCCTGGATGTGTGACAAAATGTCTGTAGGATCCCTGTCCACCATTTAGGCAGCCAGGTTCCCACCCTGGCTCACACATCAGTGACAGCTTTCTGGACACCTCACAGATGAGAACAAAAAGCACTGAGCACAGTGCCGAGTACCCACATCAATATTCTGCAAAACCTTACCACAGGGAGGACAGAGCTGGGTGTAGAGGGTCCCCTCTGTTATTTCTTATATCTTCATTTGCACCTACAATTATTTCAGTAATAATTTCCTCTTTAAAACATTACCCAAAAAAGGAAATGTAAGGATTGTCACAGGTGGTTCAGCAATGAGTCATGTGTTAGGCCAACCCAGGCCTCACTTATAAACTGTGTAACTAGAGGGAACAGGGTTGTGTTAAATTTCTACCATAAAGCTGGGTGTGGCGGCCCGTGCATGTAATCCCAGCTACTCGAGAGGTATAGGTAGGAGGATCAAAGTCTTGGACAAGAAGCAAGACCCTATCTGAAAATAAACAAAAAAGAACTGGAGGCATGACTCAAGTGGTAGAGTATCAGTCTAGCAAGTGTGAGGCCCTGAGTTCAAACCCTAGTACTGAAAAAGAAATCTTTACCATAGAAGGAAGAGAGGTACTGTCTAAAGTCAGTAAAATTAGTATGTATAAGAGCATAGGCATGTCAGTTAGAAATACGGATATTACAAAAAGAGGCAGAGCAGCTAAATAGTAAAATTGACTGAGAAGGTCACGGAGGACCCATATGGCTGCACTGATGCCTGTGGGTTGTGGTGGGGCAGCAAATATGAGCAGCCACCCCACCTTCAGACCCAGTTTAACAACTGGGCCAGATTTGGTAGTATGAGACCACAGCACCCCTCCCATGTCCTGCATTTAACTGATGACTGCTGTCCCCTGTAGGAACATGCTGCGTTTCTGATCCTGGCTTAACTGTGCTTCCTTCCCATCAGATAAGCCTAGCATTCTGAGCCTTTCAGGTCTTTTTCTATTCTAATCTAGGATATCATTTTTTGTGAACTACCAAGAAGGGATCTTAAAAGGATAAAAGTTTTGCACAGCCCCGTCCTGAAGAGGTAATTTACTAACACACTGGAGATTTTCTTCTAGCATTTCTCTTCATCCTCATGGTGGACAAATCGGCTTTTGGCCCTTCTGGAATGGGCCCTGAGCCACCATGAGGCACCTTGGGCAGCTGAGGCTGGTGTAGGTGTGGCAACCGAGGAGCCCGTATAGTGACACACCTGTCCAGGCCTGAGCTCTGAAGGCACCTGCTGCAAATTGCTCTCACTGGCTGATGGATTTCCGTGTGTGTCATGGCACTGGGTGACTGGATTATGACTTGGTGTTCCATGGGCATTTTCCTCCCCAGGCGTTTGACCAAGCAGTAACCAAGGACCCCTGTATGGCTGTTGGCTTCCTCCAGCGAGGAGTGGCCAACTTCCAGCTGGAGAGGTGAGCATGGGGATACCTTGTTCTTTATCTGACAGCTTTTTGTCTCTGCAAATCCATTTTTATACCTCCTCCAGCCTGGGCAAGGCTGCGGTGGTCAAGCTGTAGCCCACACACATGGCATATGTCTGCCAGGATTCACAGAGCATTTGCTCAACACCCCTGACTTTCCTCACATCTACTATAGTGAGAATTCTGTGATTATGTCCATTTTGCAGATTGAGAGAACTAGGACTTATCCTGGGATGTGGGTGGTCATCCAACTCTGAAGGAGGAGTCAGGGAGAACTATTAGGCCAAAGGTTTCAGTCAGCCCAGGAAGCCTGCCTGGGGGGAGGTGGGGTATGTACTGGGGGTCAGGAATGTTCAGCAGGATCAACGTTTGGAGAAGGAAGGCCCCCATGGGTTTGGGGGCCTGAGAGGCAGGAGAGGAGTGTCCAAGGCAGTTGGAAGAGGACCTAGGGTACAGACAGGGCCCCCCATGAGGCAGAGGGAGTCAGAGTCCAGGAAGTTGAGCAAAAGCTCAGCAGTAAACTCAAGCCCCAACACAGCATTCCATTCGGCACATTTGCATATTGATCCCTTGACCCATTCATGTGGACTTGTGTGCTCACCAAGTGCCAACACATGGGTGACCACCACTGTGCTCTGGTCTCCCAGAGCCAGAGGAGGGAAGTAGGCTGGCCCATCACTGCTGAAGGCCCCCTACTGCCCACAGGTTCCAGGAGGCCCTGTCTGACTTCCGACTGGCCTTGGCACAGCTGAGGGGCAATGCTGTCATCGACTACACGCAGTTGGGCCTGCACTTTAGGCTGCAGGCTTGGGAGGTGAGCAGGTGCAGGGTGCCAGCTGTCAAGAGGTGCCCTCAGAAGCCCTGGGGTGCCATGGGGGGGCGTGGGGTGCCATTAGGGATGTTGGGTGCTATCTGTAGGTAGTGTTACTGTCATGGGTGGGCTGAGTAGACTACCTACCAAGACCAAAGGCTCTTAGACCCCTGAAATGCCCTAGCCTGAGGAGGCTAGAGTGGAAGTGGAGGGGGGAGGACTGTTCACACCCTTTTGAAGCGCAGGGTAGGGTTAGTGATGGGTCAAAAGGTGAGAGGTTTCTGGGGTGGGTAGGAAGCAGAGTGCGGTATCCCCACTCTGGCTGCCTGGTGCAGTGCTCTCCTAGGGGAGGGCATTGGGAGGACCCCCATGCCTTGAGGCGTCCAGGCACAACATGAATTGTAATAAAGGAATCCTGGGGAAAACCCCCCAGACTGGGTCCAGAGGCCCCCCTGGCTCCCAGCCTAGGAACATTGTCCCTGTACCCCTTGCTGAGCCAGAGGACAGCAGCTGGCTGCAGGAACTTGGATACAACACTACAAGCAGGCTGTGGAACAGAGGCCCCAGGAAGGATGGGTAGGGTTCTCTCCTCGAAACAAAGCCGGACTTGTGTGCTTGCCTCTCCTGTGCTGGCCTAGGGTGGGCTTGCAGAGCATGGCATGACTTCACTTGTCATTGAGGCTGTGGGACAGCCTTAGCTCAGTCCAGCCTGCCCATGAGAATGCCCTCTCCTATTGTGGGAGGGGTTGTTAAGTGTCCCTTGGGCTGGCAGCAGGGATCCTCCTTAGGCACAGCTCAGACTCAGAGATTCATGGAGCAATGAGCACAGGAGGGGGTGTCATGGTGTACAGAATGGGGGTCACACAGGCCAAAGGGTCACTTTAAGAGTAAGAGCAACCTCTACATCCAGAACAGAGCACAACCCTGCCAGGGTTGAACTGGACTCAGGGCATGAACACTTGAGTGCCCACCACTGAGCCAGGCAGATGACAGGTTGCCTGGTCCCTGCCCACTGCCCTATGTCAACTGGACTGACTCCAAAAGAGTCCTCAGCTGCTGTGGCTGGGGATCCCAGGTGTGGGACCTGGCCCCACCATCACCTCAGCCCTCATTCCCAGGTGCTGTACAATGTGGCATCGGCACAATGCCAGGTAGGGCTCTGGACTGAGGCTGCCAACACTCTAGCGGAGGCCATCTCCAAGTGGCCAGAGGGGGCCCAGGACGGTCTGGACATGGCCCTGTACCAAGTACAGGTGAGGAGGGCAGGTGAGGGTGGGCCTGTGGTTTGGGGCTGGTGTCTGTAGCATAGCCTTTCAAGACCAGCTATATGACAAGAAGAAGCTTGCAGAGAGAGGTCTCCCAAGTGCCCCATGTGGGGCCCATTAGGAGTTTCCCATGGCCTATGAGAAGTGGTGGGTGAACCAAGGGGCCCCTTCTGCTCGGAGGCTCAGAGCTCCACAACTGCAGCCCTGCAGCCACCCAACTCCAGAATGGCTCCCCCCCAGAAACAGGACCCCCTGCAGCTGCGGCAGGTCCCCAGGGGTGAAGTCTTCCGACCCCACAAGCGGTACCTGGAGCACTTGGAGCCTGTGGATTTCCTCGGCAAGGCCAAGGTAAATGCCTGCAGCTGTTTCCCAGCTGGGATGTCCAGCAGGCTCCAGAGGCAGCTGCAGCCTGTGCTGAGCTGGTGGTTTTGTAGCTCCAGTGCTAGACTCAGAAACGAGAACCTGGTCAAGGTCATGCCTTCCAGAACTGGGGACAGCATTCCCAAGTGGGGCTGTAGACCTGGAGGCAAAACCCATAGGAAGCTAGCTGCAGAGGAGGTGGTTGGGTCCTCCTGACAGAGGCCCCTGGATGTGATACTCCACTCCCCTACCTCCACCATGCTGTTCTCCCAGCTGCTCCCACTGTGTCTGCATCTCCACACGTCTTTCTGTGTCTGCATTTCTGCTGCAGACAGGGAGATTCCAGGAGGGCCAGGGGTGGCTGGCCTGGGCTGCATCATACCCTCTCCCTCCCCTGGTCAGGACCAGACAGAACGACCAAAATCACAGGATACTGGGAAGTAGCTCGCTTCTAAAGGCAGGGATGGAATTCAGGAAAAATAGCTACTCCCAGGGTCACAAAGAAGAGTGACCTTGGTTTTGCACTGGTGGCCCCTAGGCTAGATACATACCTTGTGGTCTCTGGCAACACCATTCATGTCCAAGGGACTGACACAATATGTGACCACGTGCGTGCTGCCCACAAATGTCCCCTGAGGAGCACTGGGTGTGGATGGAGAAGGGACTGCTCATGCATCCATCTAGTCCACTCATCACAGTAGAAGACAGTTACAAAGAACAAAAATATATTAAGCAGGGTATAGTGACTCACACCTGTAATCCTAGCTACTCGAGAGGTGGAAATTGGGAGGATCACATTTAGAGGCCAGTCTAGGCAAAAAGTTCATGAGACGCCACCTCAACCAACAAAAGCTTGGTGTCGTGGCAATGCTTGTCATCCCAGCTACGTGGAGGGCATAAGTGGTGGGATCATGGTTCAGGCTGACCTGGGGATAAACAGCAAGATTTTATTCAAAAACAACTAACGGCAAAAAGGACTGGGGTGTGGCTCAAGTGGTGGAGTGCCTCCCTAGCAAATGCAGAGCTGTGGGTACCTGCAAAACCAAAAAGTTTTACTAAAACTAAGTTAAAATCACCACACAGGTGTTTTTCTTTGTCATCTATTTTTTTCCACTGTGATGATCTGACAGTCTTGGGCCAGGCGTGGACAGCCTGTAGTCTCCAGATTGGAGACTTGGAAGTGTGGTGGGGGGCAGTGTGGGCAAGAAGAGCAGACCGCCACAGGGCCCCTGTCTTCTCCAGGTGGTGGCCTCCATATTCCCCGAGGAGCAATACTCAACTGTCCAGTCTCAGCAGGTAGGTGGGCAGCTGTCCAGCAGGCCCAGGCATGTCCTTGCCTGGCTTTGCAGGACTGTCCACTGCTAAGGAAAGAAGGCTACAGGAGCTCTGAGCCCTCTTTGGTCCCAGTATCCTGTGCCAGGTGCTCCAACCTCCCATGGGAAGTGGTGTAGGTGGCTGTCCCATCCCTTGTGTGAGCACATAAACATACTGTCATGCCCCGGTCCATCTTAAAGATTTGGGGGGGAACTGCCCATCTGCCCCCACTTGGCCAAGGCAAGGTTGTCACTTTGTGTCCACAGGAACAGGGAGTTGGCAGTGAAGCTGGTCCTGGGACTGTGCCACGGTAGGAAGGGGGCTCCCCTTTGCCTGCCTCCCTCTCCTGTAGGGATTCCTGCCATGGGCAGATCTGGCCTCTCTCAGCCCCCTCCATATGTTCTATCTCCACCTCCCAGAAAACTCCTTGGGGAGGTAGGGCTGAGGGGAGACCCATGGGTCACCATGACTCCAGGCTGTGAGGAGACAAAGAGCTGAGTTGAGCTGCCCCCTGGGCACCACTGAACAGAGCCTCGCAGTGAAGTGCTGTGGAGCAGGTTCTCGCTGAGTTTGACGATCGGGCTGCTGAAATGGGGTTCTCAAGACACAGGGGTGTGGGAGAGAATGAGTCCTGGAACCCTGGGCTGGGGCCCACCCTCCTTGCTGCCTCTGGTTTCTGCATTCACACCTTGCTTGGACCTGCTGGACCAGGGCAGCTGAGGGGAGTGGATGAACTGGGGCAGGGCTGTGAGCCCTAACTTGGGCAAGCCCTGAGAATAGGGGCGCCACCCCTCTCTTAGGGAGCAAGTCCTAGACCTGCCAAGAGCCAGCACTCGCCATGGCCCCACTGACGTGGAGATGGAAGTCAGCACTGACCAGGTAGGGCAGGCTGACCACTGCGCATTGGCCACCTACCATGAGCCAGTGAGTGAGCCTGGGCCGTGGGGAGGTGGGCAGCCTCCTCAGCAGCCAGGCCAGGGACATGGTAGGACTCAGCAGACAAGTGTTGCCGCCTACTGGCGCACAGTCAGCCCAGCACAGTAGTTTGTTAGGTGCGGCCAGTCTGTGCACACTGCCCTGGGGGCAGATAGTGTTCAGATTGTATGACAGCCTGGAGACAAGTCAGGAGGCAGAGACAATGGTGTTGCCAGCCTTTCTTCCTGGATTCTCAAACCCCTGAAAACCCCAGAGCCTGGGCAAGGCTGAGGCAGGGGTCCTGCCTGTCCGTATAGCAGCTTCAGGAGTCAGGACAGGGACTAACATGGAGAAGATCTTAGGTCATAGACACAGCAAGGACAGTCACTGGCACTGTCTCTTTTACGAGTGTGCAGTTCATTCCAGTTTAACACCTCAGTGTCCTTAGGAGCAACTGTTCCCTTTTAGCACTTAAACCTGCATCTACTGAATTTATGTGATGGGCTGCCACACGCCTAAGTGTCCTGACCTAGCCCTTCCTAGTGGCCTGATGGGTCTGTTAACCCTCACAAGGTACAAGCACGTCACTACCCCAGCCTCTTAACATCAAGGTCCAAGTCAGCTCATGAGCCACAGCACAAGGGCCTAACTAGGAGCAGCCTGATGAGGACCACTGCACCTCCCCTGCAGTTCAAAGAGGACCCCCTCCTCTCCTGACCCCCAGCTCAGAAACTAACCCCTCCAGTACAGCTCAGGAATTACCCCTCCCTCCCTCCAGCTCAGGGATGACCCCCTCCTCTTCCTATCCAGGTCAGGGACCACTCCCTTCTCTAGCTCAGGGATCACCCCTCCTTTTTCTGTCCAGTTCAGGGACCACCCTCTTCCCCTCCCAGTGACTGAGGAATACATTAAAATAGAGCTGGGACTTTATGGTGGGCCTGGGAAGTCGGTGGCTCCCCATGGTGCCAGGCAACCTGTTTGTAGTCTCTAGGCCTGGGCAGGGGTGGACCCAGCCCTGTCCCCAGGCAGGCTTGTGGTCACGCCCTGAATTTATCCCCAACATGGGTTTAGTTGGTGACTTCCTGTTAGCCATGACCCAGTCTGCAGGACATATCCTTATTGCTAGCTCTGCCAGGACCAAGCCCGGACAGGGAAGTTTCTCTCAGGGCCAGACTCCCAACCCTAGAACATGACAACCTGTAGTTTCCCTTGCAGAGGCCCCAGGTGAAGAAAGTTGGCAAACAGGCCCCTGTATCCACAGGTAAGGGGATCTTGAGTGATGGAGGTGGGAGATTGTGGAAGAAGACCCCTTAAGTGAGCTGGGACATGGCCTCTTTCCCCAAGGAAAGCTTAAGAGTAGGGGAAAGCTGCCCAGAAGCCCTTTCTCTATCCAAAGTGTTCCCCTTGGGAGAAAATGGCCACTTCAACCCATGTTCTATCTGGCAGGGCTGACGGCTTCTGGGGGACCTTGTCCCAGCCCCTCTGAGGACCCCTCAGCTGCTGTGGTAAGAGCCATCCTCCTGTCCTGTCCTGTCCCATCCCCATCCCCCACTTCAGTTATTCCCCAGGGAGACCTGAGGCCAGGCCCTTCTGCCCTCACTACTTGGAACTGAAGCCCCCCCACCCCCCACTTCAGAGGTTGTCCCACCCCTCCCTTCTGTCCCCAGGGAGCAGCTGCAAAGGGCCCTGAATCCTCAGTGACTGTCACAGTGCAGTGTGCCTTCACAGTGGCCTTGAAGGTCCCAAGAGGAGCCTGCCTGTCCAGTCTTCAGGCTCTGCTTGTTCAGGCCCTCCCTCACCAGGCCCAGCTCGGGCAGCTCAGGTGAGACAGAAAGCCACCCTGCTGGGGGAGGCGGGGTGGCCGTGGGCTGAGCACCTGTCTGGTCCAGGCAGGGACTAAGCCTCCAAAGGCCTCCCTGGCTCCAGGCCCAGGGCCTGTGCCACTGCTAGAAGACAAGGCTGGGCATATTAGAGGTGGGGCATGTCAAAGGGCCACTGAGGTCAACTCACTTCCTGGAGCCACCAGGTGGTGGCCCTTGGGGCCCACCCTAGGACTCTCTTTGCAGTTACCGAGCTCCAGGTGAGGAGGGGCTCTGGGTCCCTATCACTGGGGAGGAGTCACTGCAGAGTGCGTGGCGGGACACAGCGTCCAACTCCAGAGGGCTACAGCTCCAGTGCCGGGTGAGTGAAGGGGAGACCTGGTTCCTGAAAGTGTGGCCCATGCAGTTGTAGGGGAGACCCCCTGCACCTGTGCTGCCCCTGCAACCTGCCATCCTGCCCTAGGGAGCTGCGGGTCGACCAGTCTTGTACCAGGTGGTAGCCAAGCATGATTACTCAGCCCAGGGGCCGGAGGACCTGGCCTTCCATCAAGGAGACTCAGTGGATGTCCTATGCGAAGGTCTGCCCCCTCCCCAGTGCTGCTGTGCTTCCCGGGCCTGGGGGATGGGGGGATCTCCCGGGCTTACACTGGGCTGTGAGCAGACATGTTGTCCCACATGTTCCCACAGTGGATGAGGCTTGGCTGGAGGGGCACCGTGATGGCCATATCGGCATTTTCCCCAAGTGCTTTGTGGTCCCAGCTGGCATCTGTGAGGAGCCCTCACCTGTGCCAGAACCTCAGCGGGGAGACCAACATTAAGCAGTCTTATGGCAAGGCCGGTTTTAATAAAAACTATCCCCCCATGGTATGGTCCACATTCTGGGTTTGGTGATGAGACGGACCCAACCGAGGCTCCCAAGAAGAGGGTTGGCCTGCAGTGCTTGGATTCTGCCCAGTTTCCTTATAGTTCGGGGTGGTGGGGAGAGCCAGGGGCCCCAGCTGTGCAGTCTATAACCCTTTCCCCTTCCCTTCAGCCTCCTCCTGAGGCCAACTGTGTCCCCACTCTGCTCCTCCCTGGGAGCTAGACCCCCTCCCCCAGCTGCCATGCTCGTAATGTCAGCCTGGACATGTGCAGAAAGACACACTGCCCAGGGAAACTTGGTAGAGAAGCCTAGGGACAAAGAGGTCACAGTCCCCACGGTCAGCATGATCCTGACGGCAGTGAGACTAGGACTGCCAGGAGGTGGCCTTCCGTGTCTGCCTGCTAGACCAGAGTCCTCGGGTCAGGGGCTCAAGAGGGCTGGGTGTCCAAGGTGTGCACGTCAGAGGCTCTATTTCCTGGGTACAGCCGCTACTGACTCCCTAAGTTAGACAACAAACATTCACGCCTCTGCTGCTGAATCCCATACCATTTCTACTTCAGACGTTCCACTCACCACCAACTATCCCAACCAGGCCCTGCCTAGTCCTGGCGCCAGAAGAGCTGGACTGCCACAGCCCCAAGAATAGCCACAAGGGTCAGCACCACAAACACTACTGCAGCCACCCAGATGCCATAGCTCTGTGCCCGCCACTGAGCTGGTGCCTCAGCTGGGATCATGCCCGTCAGGTTCAGCATATAACCCAGCGTCCAGCCAATATCCATGTCGCCGGCCTGTGGGACATATGGCTGCTCAGGGCTGCAGGGCAGTTGAGCAGCTGCCCCAGAGCCCATCCTGCCCTCATCCTGGGACAGAGGAGCCAGGGCTCCAGGTGGTGGTCACCTGCTTTTGGAACTTGATGTTGGGCCAGGTGTCCTCACTGAAGCCATAGCCCTGGAGCAGCAGTGTGAGGATGTAGAGGCCTGAGGCACAATAGTCCTGCAGCCAGCGCTCCTGCCCAGGGTAACTGGCCTCCACCTGCGGCCCAGAGGCCAATGAGCCAGTGGGGGCCCCAGGACCCCCGCCATGGTGGGATCCCCCCCACACCAGCCAGCTGAGTCTCCAGACAACAGGAGGAGGGTCAGACATTGCTGAAAGCCCTTCACACAGTCCCTGTGGAGACCACACACCAGCCAAGAGGGGCTGGGGTGGCCACCTGATGACACAGGCTGGTCCCACAGGGGCTCAGGATTCAGGGCTCCCCTAACCTAGATCAAGCAGGCCAAAAGGCTGTCCTCCCTTCCTACCCATGGCTCCCCCAAACCCAGCTGCTTGCTGCCTGGAATGAGTCTCTGCCACCATATCCCTGTCTAGTGAAGCCTGGTGAGACCCTGAAGGCCCTGTCTGCTCACAGCTATAGCACAGGGTTGGTGGAGGGGGGCTTTGTCACATGTCACACACCTAGGGTTCACTCACCAGCTTCCAGGGCCTCTGGCAGAACTCCCTGATGGTGGCGTTGACAGTGCCCAGCGGCTGCCTGGATGTGAGGTTCAGGAAGCTGAAGGTGTAGTAAAAGTTGGAAAAGGCCTAGAGGGAACAGGGGAGTCAGTGTGCTTGCCTATAGAAGGCCCAGGACACACCAGGCCAGGTTCCTCTACATAAGGGGCAGCCAGGGTTCCTCATGTCTATTCTGTCTCAGGGCTGCTCCTGGGCCCTCCAAGGGGTCAGAAAGGTATTGGGGCCCCAAAAGGAAGTCAGAGGTTGGGGGTCAGATGCTCACGTAGAACTGTCCCTGCACTGGAGGTTGGTAGATCCCATCAAAGGCACAGTCTCTCTGGCCCTTGCAACTGGAGAAGTTGAAGAGTTCCTGGATGACTGCCACACAGGCCTCAGGATTGCCTGTCCCCAGAACTGTGAGGTTCTGAGTGAGGTTCATGGGGACCATGGTGTGGATGCAGGGCGACTCATACAGGGAAGCCAGGGGCACTGTGGTCTGGTAGCCACTGTGGTAGCACGGGTGATGGACCAGGGCTTGGGGGCTTCTCTGCTGGGAGAGGAGCAGGTATGAGTCCAGCGGCTGTCTGCCTGTGCCTCACGTCCAATCCCTGTCGGCCAGCCTTACCTGCACCAGCCCAACCAGGAGCCTGTTCAGCACCTGGTCCCGCCCGTAGCAGAGATAGCTGTGAGTGTAGACGCTGTAGTTGGCGCCGTACAGACGGAAGGTGACCTGGGTGCTCTGGTCCAGGATGGGGACCCCGGGCACGAAGCTGATCTGGGTGGAGGCCCCCCCCATGTCCAAGGCGCCTACCAGCGTCCCCTCTGCAGGCTGGATCCACTCTCCAGAGGAATACTGACCACAGATGGGACACTCAGCCCCAGCCAGCTACACTGACCGCCCCACCACCCCGCCGCCCCAGGCACTGGCCTTTCAGACAGACCCCCATCCTTGGGGGCCCACACACCTTGATCAGCATTCCCAGGATATAATTGATGGTGACCCAAGCAAAGGCCCCTTCATCCTTCCCAGCCAGGATCTCAGCACCCCAAAAATCCAAAGTAGACTGGCCCAGCACCCGGGAGACAGCAGCAAGGATGTCCCTTGCCTGAGAGCTGTTCTTCTGGCTGGGCAGAGAGGATCAGAGCCAAGCTAGTGGGAAACCCAGCTCAGCCTCTGACCCCCACCCCCAATCCCAGAACACTGAGGCCCTACTTTCACCTGAGTAGTCTCATGCCGGCTGTGGCTCCTAGGAACGTAGGTGTTTCCTGATGCTGGGCCTTTGGGATCAGCGCCAGTGCCTCCTTCAAGCAGCCCTTCAGGCTCTCACCAGCCTGTGCCGGGTCAGAGGTGTAGGAAGAAATTCCAGACCCTAAAACACAGCATCCCAGGACAAGGCTCCAGCCTGCAAGTGGGGGCTGAATGGTCCGGCCACACTCTGACACCTGAGGCCTGTGAATGTGACCTTTTTGGGAAAAGCGTCTTCCTGGGTACAGTTAAGGACTTGAGCCAGGCATCGTAGTGCACGCCTGTAATTCCAGCACTTGGGAGTCGGAGTCAGAGGCAGGATTGTGAGTTTAAGACCAGGCTGGGCCATATAGTGAGACCCTTACTCAAAAAACAAAGCAAAACGAAAAGACCTAGAGATGAGATCAAGCTGAATTGCCCAGTGGGCCCTAAATCCAGTGACCAATGTCCTTTCAGGAGAGAGGAAGGGAGCTCTGAGCCAGAGGAGAGGCATGGGGATGGAGACAGGGCTGAGCATTTCCACACAAACCAGGAGAACCCAGAACCACCAGGAGTGGGAGAGGCAGGAATGACCTCCCCCGGAGAGGACCTTCCCTGCACCCCAGGCTCTGACCTCTAAAAACAAGAGGGGGTCCAGGAGGTAAACTCAGGGCCCCCCAGCAGGTGGCGTCTGCCATCAGTGCCATGTGGTACCTGTGTGGGGAGCATAGAGGTGTGGGGTGCAGAGAGGGTCACAGTTGTAGGGCAGACTCAGGGCCAGGCAGGGAAATGTCTGGCAACAAGGTCCCAGCAGGGCTGGGCGCGGTTCAGTGCTGTGTGGGTTCTCACTAGTCCCGAAGGGGCGCCCCAGAGCCCACGGTCCAGCACTGCATCCCACTACCCAGCCTATGACCTTGGGCATGTCACTTCTCCCAAGTGAGCTCTTGCCCTTCACAGTGATTTGCTGAGGGCTGGAAGAATATCTTCCTCCTGCCACGCAGCTGGGAGTCCAGTGCCCACTGACCTTCCACCTGGCAGGCCAGGGCCTGGCTGACCACGCCTGTGTTGTTCTCTTTGTCTGCCGGCCACTGGTACACAAACAGGGATGTGTGGGAGGAGCCAGCGTCGAACACGATCCCAAACTGGGGGGACACTTTGGTCAGGAGGGCATGGGGAACAGCATCCCCACCACCCAGCCTGCCTGGGCCTGGCCTCCCCTGTTTGGGACCTGGGACCACACCTTGTTGTCTGCAGGCAGGAGGACGTAGGTTGCCTGTACCAGGATAAGGATGAGCACGGTGAGGCCTGAGATTGTTGCAGCCCCCAGTAGGGCCATAAAAACTCTCTCCTTCCAGGAGAGCCCCATGGTGGTGCAGGGCTGCACCTGCAGGGCTGTACCTGTGGGGTAGGCATCAGTGGGCACTCAGTCTCCACCTGCTGCCCTATTCCAGCCCTCTGGAGGCAGGGCCTTAACACACCCCAATATCCTTGGAGACCCTTCCCACCCTGGGGCTCAGATAGCCTTGGACAGGTCAGCAGCTTGGAGACACAGTAAATGGGACCAAGGGTCATGCCTTGGCAGGACATTTGTCTGAGAACACAGCCTGAGAGGGCCCCTGGCTGAAGCCCCCACACACAGAAGGGATCAGTGGGGCTCCCCGACCTGTGTCCTAGAGCAACCCTCCTCTCTCAGGCCCCCTGCTTCCCTCTGTCCCCTCAGGAGGGACCCCAGCTCTGGACTGAACTCTGTGCCCCATCCCAGGATCTCACAGGGTGGGATTTCTCCCTGGGGGCCCCAAGTCCAGGCCTAAGCCAAGTGGGTCCAATGGCCATGTGTGTGAACTTGTGAGGGCATGAGGCCAGCTGTCATCTTAGGCTTCTTAACAAAGACATTTATTTCTTTTTGAAAACCCAACCTTGGATTTCTGTAATCTTGATCTGAGACTTTTTAGTTGGCTCCAGATGGTCCTGGGCAGCTGTCCAAGGCTGACCCAAGAATGCCATTTCTAAGGAGCCCAGGGTGACTGCCCCCTCCTCTGCCCTGGGGCCCAGCAAGGGTCCCATCCCCTAAATTACCTTGCCTGCCTGTGCACATAGGGGTTGCTAGGCAGCTTCTGGCCAGCCCTGTTCTGGGTGCAAGCATAGGACTGACCAAAGGCAGAAATGATCCCTGAGGCTCAAGCACGTGAGAGTCTGTCATTTTGTACCCTATTACATGTCCCCCGAGAGTTCAAACACTCCCAAGGTCTTTCCTGAGTGGCAGGCAGTGGTCTGGGGCCCCTGAGCTCAGGGTAAGTGGGGCCTAAGCACATCTGAAGAAGGGGAGACTGAGGCAAGAGAGGACAGGTGACCAGCTCAGGACCTAGCCTGCATCCTTAACTAGCACCCCAGGCCACAGGGACAAGCAGGCACAGGTGCCAAGGACACAGGGATACCACATTAAGCCCCTCAGCCTGAACCCCAAGGTAGCCAAAAAAAGAGGATAGGGCTGGTTCTCCCCACTAGGACAGACTCTGCCCAAGACAGCCCCCTACTTAGGACACACCTCCATCCAGGATAGACCCCCACTCAGGAAATACCCCCACACAGGACATATCCCCATCCAGACAGACTCTCCCACAGGTCAGCCCCTCATCCATCTAGATCCTCACACAGGACACCTACCCCCCATTCAGGACAGACCTCCAGCCAGGACAGACCCCCATCCAGGAAAGACTCCCATGCAAGACAAACACCCACATAGGATAGGCCCCCATCTAAGACAGATGCCCCCATCCAAGACAGACCCCCACATAGAACCAGGACAGACCCCCATCTAGGATAGACACTCCTACCTAAGACAGACCCCCTATCCAGGATAGCCTCCCCACACAGGAAAGATTCCCACATAAGACAGACACCCTCATGGGACAGACTCCCATCCAGATAGAGCCCCAACTAGGACAGCCTCTATCCAGGAGTCACCCATATGGAACACCCATCCAGGACAGACCCCCACATAGGATGACACCCACTTAGTGTCACCAGGATGACCCACACACAGGACAGACACCAACACAGGACAAATCCCCACCCAGGAAAGACCCCCCACAGGACAGCCCCCATACAGGATAGCCCCCCACACCCAGGTCAGGTCTCTACCCTGGGCAGACACACAGGACAGCCCTCCACCTATGAAAAGCACCCCCACAGGACAACTCCCACACAGGACAGCCACCCTCTTCAGGACAAACCCCAATCCAGAACAGATCCCCACATAGAACAATTCCCATCCAGGACAGTCCTCCATCCAGGACAGACCCCCATCCAGGACAGACCTCCCATTCAGGAAAGATACCACTACACAGTACAGCCCCCACCCAGAACAGACCCCCATACAGGACAGACCTCCACACAGGACAACCCTTTACACAAGACAGTCCCACCCAGAAGAACCCCACCACAAGATACCCCCCCATCCAGGACAGACTCCCACACAGGAAAGACCCCCACACAGGACCCCCACACAGGACAATCCCCCCGCCCAGAACAGACCCCAATCCAGGACAGTCACACACATAAGACAGTTTCCACCCGGGACAGGAAAGCTCCTCACCCACGACATTCCTCTGTACAGACAGCCCCCACCCCACAGGATAGACTCCACTCAGGACAGCCCCTGAGACCCTCACCTGGGCTGGTGGACAACCTTAGGGACAGCTGGAGGAAGCTCTGAGCCTGGGTGCGACCGTCCCCATGCACTTGCTGTCCTCCACCCTGTCTCCACCCACAGGTCCGCCCTCAGCTAGCAGACCATGGACTGAGGCCAGGTGGTCACTGTGGGGTTGTCTAGGGTCAACCCTCCACCAGTTAACCCTGCAATGCAGACCCCAGGTCTACACCCCTCTCCAAGGGAGGGAGGAAGGTGCTGTCCCCAGGTCTCAGGATGACCTTTGGAGCTTCCCTGGAGATGGCAGGGAGGGCAGGTCTGGGGGAAACCCACAGCCCTGGACCTTGCCCACTGCCCCGCCCACTGGGGCCAGGTCAGAGCAGAGTCAGGTGACAGGTGACCAGGAGGCCAGAAACAGAGGAGGGCTGGCAGCTGCAAAGGCAGGAGCCCAGGAGGAGGGTCATTTTCCCTTAGCCCTACTCTTGGTTGTTTTTAAATCATAAGCCTCTTTTATCTACACAGCATACTCTGTTATCCCCACCATCAGGGTCTCTCAGGCCCCCCAAACAACCTGTCCACCGCTTGTCAGTGCCTGGCCTCCTGCACACTGCACAAAGTCCTGAGGACCCTTCCTCTGTGCCCCTAGAGTGCCCCTTGTCTAGATGGGCTGTAGCTGCTAGACTACGCACCTGTGGAAGCAGGTGGGGTGTCTGTAGGGCTGCCGTGGACATCCTGGCAGGAGTCTTCCTGTGGACTTTGCCTTCGTTTCTTCTGGGCAAATGCCCAGTAGAGGGCACTGGTGTGCAGTGTGCAAAATCACTTAAGCCTGAGCAAAACCATCAGCTGATCCAGGAGACCCAGTTTTGTGCATCCTCACCAATATTTGGAGTCACTTTTTATGCTGGCCAATCTGACCGTGAGGCCTCACTGTGAACCTGAATCACAATTCCCTAAGGACTGGTGGTATTGAACATCTGCTCATGAGTGTTCATTACAACCCAAAGCAGCTTCTTTTGTTTGTATTGTTTAATCAGTTTTACTTTAATGCTTCATTTAGAGGATTCTATATAGTCTACATACCAATTCAATGTTGAATAATCGATTTTAAATAATCTTTTCCTATGATGGAAGGAGTGCATTCAAATATGATATATTTAAGAACTTTTATATCTGCCACAATGTACCCCCAGTACAATAAAAAAAACTTTTTTTTTATTTTATTATTCATATGTGCATACAAGGCTTGGGTCATTTCTCCCCCCTGCCCCCACCCAAAAAAAAACCTTTTTAAACAGAAAGTAAAAATAAAATCAAATAGTCTCTCCCTGTCAGTAGCTTTTTATTTCACAGAATGAATTTTTCTTAAAATAACTTTTTAAATAGACTCTCACTGTTCAGCCCTAGCTGGCCTCAAACTCAAGATCTTCCTGCCTCAGTCTCCCAAGTGCTTGGGTTACAGGTGTGTACTACCATGCTAGGTGAATTTTAAGGTTTTTTTGATGAAATATAATTTATTGATTTATGCCCAAGACCAGTTCTCCCAAGTCATGATTTTTTTTTATTTCTCCTAGAGCTTTTATAGTGCCATTTTGAGTTAATCTTGAGATTCCATTTCTTTGCATACTGATTATTTGTTCTGCTCTCAGTCATGGTTTCTTAGCACCTTTGTGTAAGACAGAGTATCCAGACTTGTGTGGGTCTTTGTTCAGACCCCTTGTCTCTGTCTCCTTCCTGGCTCTCTCCTGACCAGTGCACCAACACTAAGGCTTAGACTCCTGTAGGCCTCCTCCCACCTCATCTCTTCTCTCCCCTTCAGTTCCTCTGTCCTCCTATGTGACATCATAGTCGGCCTCTTGATAGCCACAAAAAATGGTCCTGAAATTTCCATTAGCATTAATACCGGTGCGTCTTTGGAGTACTGTCTTAAAATGTTCTTTTTCAATGCATATTACAACTTACAACTCTCCACTTATTTAGGATTTAGGTCTTTAAACATTTTTCTTTGATCTCATTTTCTAGTTTTCAGAAGGCAGACATGTTTTGTTAGTTATACTTGAGAATTAGGAGGTGGACATATGACACCCATTCGTGATGAAAGTTTCTCAGGAAACCAGGAACAGCCTCAGTCTGATGAAGCCGTGTACACATCACCCAAAGCTAGCGTGCCACCCCATACGCATGGCTGAATGCCCTTCCCTGACACTGGGATGGAAGCAGAGAGGTCCGCCCCTCCGTCTCCCACCTGACACAGAACTAGAAATGGTACTGCTTTTGACTCAGTTTTCAGAGGCTCCTTGGAGCATATAGCAGTGCGATTGGGCTTTGTGTGTTGACCTTGTATCCTGTGATCTTCCGAAGCCCCTCATTAGTTGTAGAATTGGCATGTAGACACCCTGGAATTGGCTGGTTGTTTTGAGACACGGTCTCACCATGTATCTCTGGCTAGCTCACGCTTATACCCTCCAGCCGCAGCCTTCTGGAATGTTCATATTTTTGGAAAATAAGGATGGCTCCCTTTGCCCCTGCCTGCCTTTTATTTCCTTCACTGAGGCTGTTCCTAGTTTGCTGAGCTTTCATTGCAAGTGGGCATTACATTTTGTTGACTGCTTTTAGTTTATACATTGATATCTTCATATAATTTTCCCTCTTTAGATTCAACATATGAATTACATTGATTGATTTGGATCAATCGATTGATTGGCTTGCATTTCCAGGAG